AATCAGTCACAAGAACGTCGAATCTGAAACACTTGAAAAAAACACGGGGGTGCTTAACTTTTTTCCAGGTGTATACATTATACATATACACACAAGTATGCCAGAATCAGTAAACATAAGATATAATTCCAATGATGAATGTAACGCAAATATTCACATATATTAGATACACAATAATACCTTCTTTCTTGTGCAGCAAGATGTATGACATACTGTATCAGTCATTCACTAACAAACTTGGGGAGTGGGGTTAACACCATTAAACAATTCAATCAATTCACAAATCATAGTTAATATTAAAAATATAATAATACTCACCATAACAAACACATACAAAAGTATTTTCTGAAATATTTTTGCAGAGCTACACTTTGCACAAAATATATTATACACACAAGCACATATATATAAACACACACATAAACAAACATTACAGCTGAGCAATAAATTTTATTAAATAATTACCTATGGGCACTGATTACATCATTTAGAGTCATGTAAAATTATTGATTAATTCAAATAATGAACAAATCTTTTAATGTCAAAAAATAATCAAAATTAGTATTTCTGATTATTCTAACTATCCAAGTGATTGAAATATTAGCATTGTGATTGCTTCAATTTTGTTCATCTTAGTCAATTAGTGTCACAACTCACGAAAATAATCAGATAATTAAACTTAACATTTTGATTATCACTATTTCTGATTATTCCAACTATCCAAGTAATCAAAATAGTTTGATCAGCCGTGGATAAGCATGGCTTTGGTAATAAGGGTGTTTGCTTCATGATTTGAGGGTTACAGATTGATTCCTATTGCCTTTAATAATGCTTCTCTTTTAGCCATAGGAGCATTATATATTTTTCAATGTTTTTCAGCTATGGCAAAGCTATTACGGCTATCTGCCTTGTTCCTTAATTTGAACTGTTAACCAGAGGGGGAAGGCAACCAGCCAGCATAACCCACTGCCAACTCTTGGAATATTTTTTTACTAATGAATATTGAGATTGACAATGACATTATAAAAACCCCTACAGTTGAAAGTATGAACATATTTAATAGCATCAGTATGACTCCAATTGTCTTTCATCATTTTTGTCCTTTGAACTGGTGGTATTATATTTTCTTATTGTTTTTTAGTTATGGCAAAGCTACTATGGCTATCTTCCACCTTCCCTAATTATGAAATGCCAACCAATGAATAGTGGGCTTTGCCTTGACATTAAAACACTATTACATCTCAAACGGAAGACAAATTTAGTGCCATCAAGTACTGAATCCATGACAAACCACCCTAGCACCAGACCATGCTGTTCGACAATCATTATAATGTGATGGAAATCCTCATTATTGGTAAAGAGTAGCAAAAAGTTAGTGGTACATTCTGGTTGACTTTGCTGTTGTCAGCAGTTCAAAATTAAAGATAGGGACGGATAATCTCAGTAGCTTTGCTATATCTCATACAAGATACATTTAAAATTAACTCATACACAATATGAAAGCTAGTGTTACTTTTTGGCCATAGCATGAGGTACACGTTTTTTGTTCTGTGGAGAAGCAAGTAGCATTTGTGAACTGTGCTTTTCATAGTGCATTAAATCAATTCTTTAGGTTTTAGTTTACTAAATGTATTCAAAAGTTTAACTGTGAAAACAATAACCATTATATATTCCTAACTACAAGTATCAACATAAATTATTACTGTGAAAAATTAACTGAAAAATACTAAAGAAATCAGTCATCTTACTTCTTTCCCTTACATAATTACTTTGCATACATACACGTGTGTATACATAAATAACTTAAACTGGTTTGAATACAGTAAATGCTTAATTTCTATTTGACTTTAATTTCCCTCAATGTTTTTATTTTATTAATGTACATCACACTACAGACATCATATCACTTTCTGAAATTACCTTAATTCTACACAAATAAATTTCCAGATGAAAAGAAAAATATTTTTGTTTTTTCAATAAACTAAAATAATCCCCTTATCCTTCAATTCCTGAGTAGACTAAGTTTATTTTAATTAATCCTTAATTCTCTAAAAACCTAACTCACCGATATCCTTATGAAATTATTATTTTAAATTAAGAGTTGTTTGCTGCTCCACAGTCTCCTTTTTCTATTTTACAGTTCTTAAAACTTCAAAAATATTACTATAAACCTTACAATTTTAAATAATTGGTGCCTGTATTGTCTATATCTACATTTTTGTATTCATAATTCAGCAAAAGCTTTGAATACACATATCTTAATAATGACATGCCAAATTGAAAAATTAAGATTTTGTTCAACTGCATAGAGGGAGTTAACTGTGATAAAAGGGTTTGTTGCACTCCTATTGGTGGAGGATTGTTGCATGCTCATTTGCATGTTTAAACACAACTGTGGTATACACGTGGAATTAGGTTGGAGTTTCAAGGCAAGTGGCAAATAAAAATTTGTATACTAGAGGGCAGTCAAATCAAGAATAGCTGTAACTGTGAGATGAAGCAAGTAATCATATGGGAATGAAGGGATTTGTTTTGGTTAGTTTGGAATATTACACAAAGCTACACAAGGATTACCTGTGCTAGCCATTCCTAATTTAGCAGTGAAAGACTAAAGAGAAGGCAGCTACTCACCACTATCACCCACTGCCAACTCTTGGGCTACTCTTTTACTAACAAAGTGGTTGGTTGGTTGGTGTTTTATGGCGCAAAGCAGCTAGGCTATCTGCGCCAAACAACCGGTAAAAGCAAGGAAAGTA